TTCAAAATTTTTGTTCCCCTTCACCCATAGATGCTTTGTGCCAAATTTGGTTGAAATTGGTTCAGTGGTTGCAGAGAAGAAGCTGAAAATGTTCAAATGTTAACGCACGACAAACGACGAACGACGACGGACGAAAACAGATAGCAATAGGTCACCTGAGTTTACTCAGGTGACCTAAAACAGCAAAGAAATTCTTTTTACACATGAGCAGTAACTTCAGTTACTGAAAAGTCATCAATCCAAATCCACATGATATGAAGAAATTGTGTGTAATGCACACATTTGTTTTACTCAGACAAAGTAGACGGATGATTTTCCTGTATGACACTGGTGACCTGAGCCAGCCTCTTTATGAGGACTCAATAGACGAGTCCCCTGCCATTCTCATACCCTACTACGATGAAGACAGCAATACTGTGTTTCTGTCTGGAAGAGTAAGTCACAAGATTTAGCAGGAGATTAAGTAATAGAAATTAGCAAGCCATGAAGTGACAAAAATTAACAGGAGAATAATTCACAGAAATTAGCAGGAGATTAAGTCATATTTAGTGGATGTTCCAGGCAACATCCATGAAATCAATATACATGTACCTGCTGCCTAAGTATGTCCTATATATATTTTATTAACTTTTCAAAAAGATTTTTAACTATGTTTTTATTCTGGATTTTTCAGGGGAATGGACAGTTATATGCCTATGAAGTTGCAACAGAGGAACCATATTTATTTCCCTTAGCAACAACTAAGTTTACAACTCCAAGCCAAGCATTCGCCTTCCTTCCAAAATACCTGTGTGACGTAAAAAATGTAGAATTTGCCAAAGCTTACAGATTAACCCAGACTACAGTAGAGCCCGTGTCTTTCACTGTTCCCAGAGTGAGGGTGGGTATATTTACTTCAAACAGTAAAAATATATGAGCACCCTAATTTCAAAGACTGGATTTTAGGACTGATTTTGGTACAAAACTGGGTACAATGCCGGAGATTAACTCATACCGTTTTATGGTTGAGTTCGACATTTCCACTCGGTGAGGCAGAATTTCGACGCTGTTTACGGAGATAAATGAAAATAAAGACAAGCAAGCCACATATGGTTGTGTAGATAAATTGTCGTAGATGACATAGGTATAAACAGTTTTACACTGCCTTTCCTCTGAAAATGTGAATGAGCGCAAATTTAAGGGAGGGGGTACTCCGTGTAATTTGGAGTTAGATACCTTTCGTTATTTTTAGTACTATGGGTTAAATTCATTTCCAAAACAAGTGCCTGTGATATGTTGACTTACATCAATAAACATTCAAAGTTTAATAAAATAAAATTTCAGGATTTGTCATACAGCCTTAATCCTTCAAGTAATGTGAGAGATAAACGGCAAAGATTGTGTCTACATAATTGATGTTGATTAGGTTATCAAGGTGTTAAAAATTGATGTATTCCATACAAAAAATGAGTGAAACACTGAAAACAGATCAAAACGGGTGCAAAGATGGCTATTTAGCATTTGATTGGCATATACTTTTGCAAAAATCCCTTTTAGAAATGGATTTTTATCACAATTTCATATTTTTGTGGCACACCTTTTGATCATTACAATTTTTTTCAGTTGGAGTTTTTCCAAGATGACCTTTTCCAGATACTTGAGTGACCTGGGAACCAACAATGACCAGTAAGGAATGGTTGGCAGGGAGCAATCAACAACCCAGATCTATAAGTCTGAAGCCCAAAGACATGACACCATGAGCGGAACTATTGTATAAGTGGAAATTTTAGCGAGACGCAAATTTAGCGATTTGTCCTTAAAAACTTGTATTTTATTTAAGGAATGAATTTAATAGCTACCCATTTTATACGGTATAAACTGGGTTGGGGCAGTTTACGCTTTATAAACCGCGAAGCGTTTTATAAGAAAGCATAAACTGTTCCAACCCAGTTTATACCATATAAAATGGGTAGCTATTCAAATTCACTGCTTATAATTTAATTTTCATTCAATGTAAGAAACCAAAAAAAATTAATCAATAGTTTCTCAGGCACCGCCGCTACAGTTCAAAAACGGCCGCATTGATTATTTTTATTGACATATTGAAAAGGGAAATAACTCAGTTTTCTATTTTTCCACGTTGAAAAAGAAAATCAAGTTATTCCCCTTTTCATAAATGCTAAGATAGACGTTTTTATTAGAAAAACAATTCTACATTTCTTCCAAATTTTCAGCATTTTATTAATTAACTTATAAATAAATGTTTGGAGTAACATTATTTAAAGTTGAATACATATTACAACCAATTTCAGAGAACAAAAATCAAGAATTGGTAGATCTTATGATTTTATTGAACGAATGGCTTACAAAAGGTATTAAACCTACTATAAAAAAAAAAAAAAAAAAAAAAAACCTGCCTGCCGCATTGAATTCTGATTTTTTTGGCCTGAGAAACTATTGATTAATTTTTTTTGGCCTTATACGATATAAAATAATTATTTATTTAATCAAATACATCGTTACAACCAGAATTAAATTATTTTTAGCAATTAATTTTTGTGATTTTTAAGTGCTCACTAAAGAAGCTAGTACAAATAACACCAATATATTTTTAGCGATATTCAATTTTAGCGATCTCAACAGCCTCGCTAATAATGACAAAATTAGATCCTCGCTAAAATTTCATCTTATACGATATTTACTTAAAAAAGAACCATTAATCCCAGAACTTCTTTCGTTACCAGTGGTAAAATTTCTGTGTGTGTGTGTGTGTTTTTTTTTTTGGCAAATTCAATACAAATGTATTAATTGATTTGCAATGATAAATATTTGTGAACCCAATTAACTGCAGAATTTTCTTGATTTATTTTTTTTAAATGAATATTAATTTACAGTACATGTATTATAATAAGAGTGGAGGATTCTATTAAAACATACTGTAGAAGTACTTTTTTCAAATGTGGTATTTATTAATGCTATGTACGCAGTCACAAATTTTCCGCTGAAATCTTTTTTTAAGGTAAATGTAACGCACAGTGACAATCTTGAAAATTCGCGTCAATTTCTACCCGCGGATTAAACAGAAATTGAGATTCCGCGTAATTATGACCCCGTGGAAAAAAGTACGTCTACAGTAATCAGAAATTTCTGGCAAATTTTGGAAAAGTTGTCAACACAATTATCGTAAAAATAACAAAGACACCACAAAGTGGAACACCCCCTTCCAAAATGATTCCAATATAAATTAATATTACTTGTGTTACTTCCATTTAATATGCATGCACTCATTCACCCACCCACCCACAAGTGTTTCACTATATCTACATCTTATATGTGAAGAGATAAAATAGGCGACATTCCTTATGGTATTGCACTGTTCATTGTTTACATGTAACTACAGTTGAACTTCATTGTCTTGAACACAGATATCTCGAATACCATGGATATCCAGGACAATTTGAAGTCCCAAGTACTTATTTTTTAAGTACTTTTCCCAGGCAATGTTGAATTCAAATGCAATATTAGAGTTTTTCCTTGGTCCATTCAAGTTTGAGATAATTAAGTTTGACTGTAAATATATTTAGTCTTTTGTGTCTTTCAGTAGTATTTATTTATTGTATAATTAAATCATTGTTTCTAAGTAACCAACCAACAATAAAATTACATGTGCATCCTGTTTCAGTGAGCTTGGCACCAAAAGAAACACACAAAGTGAAGAAGTTTGACAGCTATAATCCAGAGACCTATAAAACAGATGAACAAAAGAACAGAGGTATGTCACAGTCATTTGGGAATAATTTGGAATGAAATGAAAATATTTTATAATTTTACAGAATTTATGTTGGTTGATACTAGTGAGAACTGTAGCCATCTGCTTGACCTAAAAATCGGACAGATATAAAGCAGTCTGCAACAGATCCATTTCAATATGTGCATTCTCTGCAACGATTTTTTGTCGCTCAGTTCGGATATTTTAATTGTAATTTATCACTTTCCCTAGCTTTAAAATGGTATTTTATAATTAATCATACATTTAACTTCAATTCCTAATAATTTACATACCTGTACGCTAAAAAATGGCTGTTTGTGATTATGGACGTCGAAATGAAAATAATTGTAAATCGATATTACAAAACTATATACAGGACTGTTTCCAACCATTTAAAGGTAAATAAAGTATCAAAATAAGAGTTAAATATGTGATTAATTAAAGGAAACATTACATGTACAAACAGAAAGCTTTAACTACATGAAATAAATATCTTCAAGTAGCGACAAAAAATCGTCGATGTAAATCGGAGGTTTTTACAAAGAGCTAACTCTCTGCTTTACCTGCAAATTTCTCAAGCAAAAGCTACAGTTCTGCAGTTAGGTTATACATACACCGTATGTAAATTGCAATATGTGTCTATGATATAAAATGAAAAATATGTGAAACAAATTTTATGAAAAACTTACGTTTTAGATATGTTGAATGTACATGTATGATACGTACAAGTCCCAGTATGGTTAGCTTTGAATCATATCATGAACATTCTGTAGACGTACTTTTTTATATGTGGGATTAATTTCCGCTATGTACTCAGAATATTTTTTTCGTGGAAATTTGTCACAGTGTACTTAAGATTCCTTAAGGACATAATAATGACAATAAATATTCTGCGTAAATATCTTGGATTGAGTAGAAATTTTGTTTCCGCTGAATTATGACCCCTATTTCATAACAGCATAATTGCTTCAATAAAATATTTTGTTGCCCCCTCACCCTCCCTTCTACACCAGATTGTAGTACAGCTAAATTGTTTTTGTTACTCCTGTAGTTAAGATGTACTTTACAATGAAAACTTTACAGTTACCATGGTTATTTTATACACAGTTGCTGAGTGCTATGACTAACAAGCTGAGTAAACAAGAGGACCCTCTCCCCCAGGATCTGGCTGAGGAGGTGGATGAAGATGAATGGGTAAGATCATGTTCCCCCTCATCCCTTCAAATATATTGATAAGATTGATAAGATATGCAAATTCAATTCTATACATTGCAATAAATTGGCATTTGCAGAGAAACCACATAATTGCTTCCAATGCACTTCCAAAGCAGCAATTTATAATTTAATGAAAATTCTATGATTTTGCTCATGATTATTTTAAAATCTAATATCAAATTTTATGGAATCTGGGGAGTGGGGAGCAATGTTTGTTGACAATGAAAATTTTACTTTGGGGACATAATTTTGTTGGTAACATGTAGATGAACAAGATTCAACGAACTGATACTTGGTAAGGATAACATTCAAAGTCCAAACTTTCATAAACCCCCCAAGTACAATGATGAGTCCATAGTACATGTATGATGTGAATTGTCATACTGGAAATTGTTTGACAACCAGGTGTGATTCTACAAGTAACAAATTATTCAGCATTGCGTTTTAAATGTGTTAAATGCAGTCAGAAATTTCTACACATATCAGACCCAGAATTTTGGGACAAACTATATGAAATGATGACACAGTTAACATCGAACTTAATTTCTATATTATTTTTTCAGGATGATTGATGACTTAAGTGCCATGAAGATATAATGGTGATTAGACTGTGCAATTTTAAAAGAGATTTCTTATAACATGTATTAATCATACATAGTATTCCCACTAATATTTACATTCCATAGAAATCGTTCTACAGTACATTCAAATATTTGTGACCTTCTGGAACGTTTCTTTGTGCCAAAGCATGTCTGTATTAAACTTGTATGGTAATTCAATATCTGTAGAAATAAAAATAATACTATTAGATAGTAACACATTGCTAATGCTTTTAATTTATTAAATGATACCAAAGTGAACTTGACTTTTTTTGAATTCCCAATTTTATCATATTTATTAGGGCAGTCAAGTTTTGTATGCTTATTTTATTTTATTTTTTATTAATTTTTTTTTTTTTTTGGGGGGGGGGGGGGTGTCTCAAGGAGGCATGGTAGTCCTGATGGTTTGTTGTGCTACATACAAATCAAAGGTTGTGGAGAAATCTTGGAGGGAGGGGATGAGGGGGAGGGAGCTAGAAAGGGGGATCCACGACAAATTGGCCCTAAAACAAGAAATGTTATGAAATTGTGATATGTTGTAGATAAATGTCTTATCTTCCTAAAAATATGAAAATAATTTATACTGCACATTTTCTGGTAACGTGATAAATTAAAGTTTAAGTACACCCCCTTCCCTTCATTTTAGGAGTAGGCATATTTATAACGGGATACTGAAGTTTTTTCAACGTCAAATCATAAATGAAATGTGATAAATGTGAATAAAGACATCAAATAACCAATTTCTATATTAATTTTACAGAAAATTAATAAAATTTATTTTATGTGAATGTTTTTTAAATTGCAAGATTTTTCTCGACTTTTAATTGTAACTTTTCTTTAAAGAGGGAGAATTATAACTTATAAAACATATATATACAGTATAGACAGAAACATTTACAAGAGGAATTTACTGACAGTTTATATTTGAATATAATAATCAATTTATAACAGTTTTCCCGTACGTGGGAAGCAAATGTAAAAAAAAAAAAAATAGACATGAGATAGATCAACTTTGAGTGTAATTTACAGTTGTTTAGAACTGTTTGCAATAAATTTTCGTCAACTAAAGTTATAGCGCAAATTTTATTGTGAAATTATACAGTAATATTATTGAATTTAATTTTTAATCATGCTTTGAAAAACAAATGGATTTCCGTACGATTAAAAAA